GTCCAGTGGATTCTATGAGATTAGGTGCAGTGTGACCATATGATCCCTGCACCCCCTCCTGCCCCAGCCCAGTGAGAGTGTGTGTGTGTGTGTGTGGGGGGGGAAATGGAGTGAGTGGGGCGTGGCCTCAGGGAAGGGGCAGGGTAGATTCTGGGTTGATCTTAAATTCAAAAAGTGATCTTGTATGTTAAAAGGTTGGAGACCACTGATGTATAGCAAGATGACCAGTTAACTAGCTATTCATGAGTAGAACTAGCTATTCATGAGTAGAACATGCAGGCTATTTTAGGAAGTGGTTGGAAGATGCATATATTATCTTCAGTAACTTCTCAATCTGCAATGGTAAATATTTTACGAAAATTAGTTTCAATCATCCAAGTAAAAATCTGGCATTTCTTCCAATGTCACCCTTTTTGTGGGAAAGGATGCCACTGGGGCTGTTTTTGTCTAATTAGTTTTTAGAAGTTCATAGCATGCGTATAGTACTACATCTAATTAAAGCTTTATCTTGTTTAAGGTACGCAAAGAGAACCAGTGGTGTGAAGAGAAGTGAAGTTTTGTGCCTGACACTCTAACACTGTAAGGATCGTTCCAAATACTAGTTGCACTGCTCTGTTTATAATTGTTAATATTAGACAAATGCAGCAGCAAATGAAGTTGTATTAGCAGGATATTGTTCCCTTTGCATGTGTAGTGTTTTTTTGAGTACAGATTTAAATCCTATGGTTGAGTTTTTACCAGTGTAATCAGATGTCTTTTTACTTTACTCAGCAATGAATAAAACTGAACTAAGCGTGGATTCTGTATGGAAATAGCACTTCAGGTTATCCTGTTCATGACTCTTAACTGTCCATGTCCAGTTACAATGTTATCTTGAGATGTCAGAATTTAGATAAGCATTTAAACTCCACTGTAAATAAAACCACTTGCAAAAGTTTTCTGAAATGGAATTAACAAAGCATATTTTTATTCAAAGAACTAAAGGGTTTCTTGGGGAACCAGGCTGAGTGAAGAGTTGTTGAGTTTCCTCCAAACTTCTAAATATGAAGGATAATTACCCTTGGAGTAAGTTAGTACTTGACACAGTTCTTAGTTGGTCACAGGCAAATACTTAGGCATTACAAAATCTCTTCAGTGGCTAGTACTTTCTAAGCCTGTTTTGGTTTTGCCTGCAAAAGACCAGTCCTAGCACAAATGTGGCTTTGGCAAAACTGGGTAAGCTAGTTACCGTTAACCTGGAACTCTTTAGCCATGTAGCTTAAGACCTGCCTCTAGCTGGTACAAAGCAAAATCTGAACTGCTGTAGGCACAGGAGAGTTATGAATTTTAATAGGAAAAGCTAATTCCCAGTTTGACCAAAAACATGACTGACTTTACCAAAGTTAAACTTATTGATCCAGCATGTTGTCAGTAGCTGGCTTTAGGCAATTCTAAACCCGCTTGTGATGTAGCTTTATTAAACATGGCTTCCTGTGTCTGCAAGAAACATTTCACCTATGTACTGTACACGAAATCACAGCTTGTAGACTCTCTTCATTATTGCATACAAAACAAAGCTAATGCTGTATCTAGTGTGACTTCTTTTGGACAAAGCCACTTGCAACTAGTTAAACAGTAACTGGTTTTCTGACTTTTTCAGTTCCCTTATAGGGAGTAGGAGATGGTTGTGTAGTAAACATTTGAGGTGTGATCTTAGCTTATTGCATTCCATTTTCTGTATAAACCTTAGTCTAGAATTAACCTTAATAAATGTACTTCTCTTCATTTTAAAGATCATGGTGTTGCACTAAGTGGTGTTAAAGGGTTAATGATGGATGTGTTAGAAAAATCTTGTTAATTTAACAAGAGCAACTTGACAGCCTCTAGAACACTCAGTGAATAGCACGTCTTACTAAACAGTAAAACTTGAAATTGCTGATAAACTTCCATGTAGCTGCTGCATAAACAAAATCTACGTAGAGAAAATTTTAACATCTGACTCTGTGTTGACTGACTGCCAGTTTGCACTATAAACAGTTTCTCCAACTACAGTCCATGGAATTGAGTGTCCAAACAATGGAGAGTTGGGTATAGCTATTAAGAGGTGGGCAACAGCATGAAAAATTGGAGAGCCTCTGCTGTAGCACCCAAGCAAACTTGCTCTCCACCCATCCCTTAACTTGCTTCCTCCAGCCTGCCACAGCCTCTCCAGAGGGGTTGCTGAATAATGGGTCCTACGTTCAGGGTAATGGTAGCATCATTGGAGCATCCTAATGCTACCAAAAATAAATGCTCTTGGTGACAAATGGGGCCTCTTCTATGCAAGCAATGCCGTTAATCTTAGAAATGTTAACACCAAAAATCTTCTGTGGGAAACAGTACACTCTTTAGGAAAGAAAATGAGACCCACTGCTACAGTTAGTGGCGTAAGTTAATCCTGTTTCGAAGACTAATATTAAAGCGAGGTCATGGGTCCTTAGATGTTCAGTTCCTTCCTTAACACAGGTATCAAGATGAACTTGTGTTTAGGGCTTTGTTGTTTTATGTTGCATCCAGTAACAAAGGGCTTAAACTTGCTTAGTGTATCTTCTGAGACAAGGGTTGGCCACCACTTAAAAAGTGGTGTGATCTACCCTACTTCAAACTGATTCTTCTTTTTGGTGGGTGGAAGAGAAACTACAGTCCTACACATCGGGGCAGTTCACCTCTCCTCTCATTAAATGTTCCCTTCCCTTATCTTCTGACTATGCCTTATGGCAAGAGGCAAACCTACATGCAGCTCAGCTGCACTCTTGCTGTCTGTAGGTATATCCTGACCTAGGCTTGGAGCAGGTATCTGTGCTCAGCTGTACCATAAGGTGAGGACTGTGGCAGGGTTTAGGATGGGGAGGAGGCAGAAGTGTAATGCCACATAGTAGAATGGGAAAAGTGAGGGGGGCAGACTCAAGAATATGTATTGAATTGCCCTAACTGTGTGTAATGCACCTGAGAAGAGACCTCTTCTCTGGTGTGAGAATTGCTGATCTTCATTGGAGGGTTTATAATCCAAGATGTTCGTTCATTATACTAACTCATGTTTGCAGGATTCTTATGACCTCAGAATAACAAACTCTAATCTAAAATGCCACCTGGAGCAATGGTGGTCTGATATTCTAACTAGTCTCAGTAGTGTTTAAAAATAAAAAAAAATCATAGCATAGTGCTGGAAGGCTATAACAACTTCAGTGCTTACTGAGACAAGGAGAAGCGCATCACCATTTCTAATCCAAAGAAATAGTGTTACCCAAGCCATTCCAGGAGCAGTTGCAGGCATTCAAGACTGGCTTGCTGTTACTTAAGAATCTCTAGCTTGTAAGTAGATGTGAAGTAGCTTGCTCTAAAATGACTTCCGGCTGTGTCTGTACCAAAGTTCGGGGAAAGTACTGTTTTTCTCCAACATGCCCTCTTAAAATGCTACTTGCTGCCTTAAGTGATTTCAAGTAGCAAAGCTACAGAGGGGAGTTTATGGGTGCCCTTGATTTGGGGCACTGTCAGTAGAAATCTCTGTGCTAAGGACCACGCCACTGGGGAAGAAGATTAGCATAGGCAAAATTTTGTCTTTATATGTGTGTGAAGGGAGAAGCAATGTGATAAGTGCTGTGGGGAGGTCTTCGCAGAACAGGCCTAGTTAAAGGGACTATGGTAGGAAGCATACTCAATGATACTCCTAGTAGTTCTGAAAACTAGAAGGGTAGCTGCCCCATAAAAATAGCTGATTTATGCCTCTGTTTAGGGGAACAACTCTTCATGCTAGAGCTGGTGCTCTAATCTACTGCTCAAAAAGCACTTGCTCTGTGACCCACTGTGTTTCTGTTTGGGTGAGCTGGAGAAAAGAACCCTGCCCGTCCCACCCCCAGCACAAGTCAGGATAGTTTTGTATTAGTGGTTCCCCTACCCCCCAACTTTCAGGCTGTTGGTAATCGGCTACTGTAATCTAATCTCTCTACTCTTCCAGTTTTAACAAGATTTAAATCCAACACCTCATCCTTTAGCCTTTGCATATCTTCCTTTATAAGTGTGCATTAGAAATGTCTCTTTGGGGAATTGGCTGGCTCAGGAGTTATTACAGGACTCCAGGCTTCAGCTTCTGCAGTGCCAGTTCAAAACCAGCCAAGGGCTGCTAGCCTGTGAAATGTTAGTTGTCATACTTTCAGCAGATAAGGTAGGGTGAACTTAATCAGAGTCAAAAAGGGATAGGAGGTTTCTCTGGATATCAAGAGTAGCTAGGGTTGTTATAAGTAATGGGGGAGGGAGGGGAAGCTTTGGAAGAGAGATCTATAAGGCTCACATTTCAGAGCTAAAGCCAGGCTACTAGAGAGCAGGATGAGATTGGGGGGAGCGGGTAGGGATAGTGCATATTTTATAGCAGCCTACTGCAGAATTCTTACACCTTTCTCTAAAGCATCTGGGTTTTTGACTGTTTGGGCCAGGGGTGGGTGGGAAGGGAGGAGGATATACTAGACTGCTCAGGTCATTCATTCATGTAAGGAGTGGGAGAAGGAGCTCCCCTCATACATAAAGGTGATAGATCTAATTATTGGGACATAGCATGTGTTGAGTAGAATACAGGAGGCAGTAGCCCAGGCTTCTAGCAGTGATGTGGATAAATGAACATTTTTTACCAGCACTGCATTCATTTCAAAATGCCATAATAATAAAGTGACTGCTTATCTGACCACTCTGATTTTTTAAAGGCAAGTTATGCCCATGTTCTTTTCTGTTTGACTTTTTCCCCTTGCCATGTTCAGTAACAGATACAGCTTTTATTGGCTGAACCAAGCTAAAGGGTGACTGAACCAGGCCCTTGTGCATGGAAAAGAGGATTGGTGATAAAGAAATCTGCTTCAGCTGCTAGCATTCTCCATGTCATTCATATACTCACAGTTGGCTATATGCAATTAGTCTAAAAGCCCTGCTGCCTACAAGTAGGGAAGAAACACAGGAATCTTTAAAATAGTAAGAAATGAGATCTTACAGTATAATTGTATAGGATTATAACCCCCCAGTGGCCCTTTTTGAAGGGCCAGGCTGGCACACTTCTTTATTTATAAAGCTATAAACATATTTTGAACATAAAAGCCAAAAAATACAAACTCAGTGATGTAAAAAAAAATTACAGTATAGGGTGGATAGTTATTGGACAAATGAAAGTACAGCTGCAAAACACTTATCTGTGCTACATACATACAGTGGTTTTACTTAATGAAGTGGTATTTCTGTGACTTCTACATTCAAACAGGAAATCAAATGGGTAATTAACAAAAATGAAACTGTCATATGAGAACTAAATCTTGCTGCAGTAAAAATTTACAGGCAAGGTTTTTTTTTTTTAAAAAGTAAAACTTCCTATAGCATATCTAAAGACTTTTTTTTTGGTATTTAAAAAAATTAGGATCTCTGTTTTGGCTTCCTAGGGCAAGTTGTAAAAAGTGATAACATTTACTCAATATTTTTTCCTTGGAATGGGCAGCTTAAAGGTCTCCTTGCATGTTTCAAGAACTAAACAATCGAATTCTGCTCTGTTACACACGCGCATGTGCACACACACACACACTCTCTCTCTCTCTCTCTCTCAGTTACAGCCCTCCACCTACAGGGCTTACTGAATTTAGCCTAGTATCTGAGAGCAGAGGATAGGGTCAACAGCTGAACTTGTACAACTAAAGCAGGGCAAATTATATTTCGCACAAAGTCAGAACAAGGCTAGAGGTTAAGGGCCACATTTAGTGATAGTGTACAGCAGTCAGAAAATGGGTGTAAGTTGCAAAGGGATCCAATGATCCTGGTTCCACAGCTATGCAAACATCACTTGCCCATTTTGGATAGAAGAGGAAAAGCTGTAGCAGGAACAGGCTGTTAGCCAGAGTGCTACTAAGCAGATCCTGCAACAGTGGGAAATGGAAATCAACTGAGTAGACTGTGATATCAGGCAGCCCTTCTCAGATGTTGCCATGCACTTCTGGGGTCCCAATTAGCATTAGATGAAGTGGGTGCCACTTCCACTGAATGCTGAAGTCAATGGTAGTGGTGTCTGTTTACTCCAGCATTGAGTTTGGCTCTTGGTCAAATGGTGCCATTTATATACTGCAGGACTTTCTCCCATAGTATCCTGGAGTGTTAGCTAGCCACAGCTGTTTGTCCATTTGTACTCTCCTGTGATGGCTGCTGAGGGGGTCGGTTACATTTGTTTTGCACAACCACAGTAGGTGCAAGTTTCACTTTACACCCAATATTTTGCTGAACATACCCAACCACTAACCCGTGCTATAGCTGAACCATATCTTGTGGTTTTAATAATACTACTGCTTGTCATGCCCCCAGCACTTTATATCTGAGAATCTCAGAGCACTTGAAAAAAGATTAGCATTCTCATCTTACAGATGGGGAAACTGAGGCACAGAGCGGTGAAGAGACTTGCGTGAGGTTACAGTCAGTGGTTAAGCTGCAACTAGTCACCTACCTCAGCTTTAACCACTTTGGTTGGAAATCATTTAAATGATACTAGTTCAGATATTGATCCAGTGCTAGATAATTAACCACGTGGTGAGTGTCAGTATATGCTTTTAATATACATGTGTGGAAGTACAGACAATGCCAGTGGTCTAAGGGTTAAATAGGCTCTTTTGGATTTGTGCGTGTAACTTCCGTTAGTACCAACAGAGGTTACAGTTGCACAGCGAACAGAGACTAATAAAGCACCAGCTTTAGCTTTTCTTGCAAAGAATTTGCATGGTTTTCCTCTTCTCCCTCCCCCCCCCCTCCAATCTACAGCAACTTCAAGCAAAAGGAACTGAATGGGGAGGGGGGAACCAATAACTATAGTGCTCTACACTATAAGCAGCTTTCTAATCTTCAGTCTCTGATATAGAAACCTATTAAAAAGTTGGAATAAACATATATAAAAAAAGTTTTGTTGCCTTAAGAAAAAAATACAAAAATAGTTTGTATAGCAAAGGTTCTTTTAAATTTCTTGCAAGCCTATATAATACTACTTTAAGTTTGTATTCAGTATTCTAAATCCTATCGTGTACAGTAGAAAAAATAGCCCCCCTCCCCCCCTAATGTTTTATGGTACTTTTCTCTTCAGTCTAGAATAGGTTTTTATAAAGCAGGAAAAAAACAAGTGTCTGGATTCTGATCTTAGTTACAATGGTATAAATCTGGAGTTATGCCAGTTCCTTTTGTGCAGTAACTCTGGATTTACATCAGTGGAACTGAGATCAGAATCTGGCCCCTAAAGGTTTATGTTTACCAGGCTCAAAATATAAATAAAATATCAGAAATCCATAGACACTTTCAAGAGCGAGAGCCTGTATTAATGTTTGACAGCCACTGGCTGGGAAAAGGAGTAGAGAGGAAATAATTTGTATTGTAAAATCTACAGTGTAACTAGCTAGTCGACACTGTATACCAGCTCATTTCACTTATAACCACATTTGGAGCTTGATCCTGCACTGCATAGCTGCAGAGTGACATCTGAGGTTAAAGGTGATGGGCAGGGAATGTGGGGCACCAAACCCTACAGCAGGGACTCTGTGATCTGCCTCAAAATCCCTGCGTCCAAGGGGAGAAAGGCTGAAGAGGGAAGAGTGGAGCTAAGTACCTCATGAATGTGATGAGCATCATGCTCAAGCCATGTCCACTCTCTACGCTACCCTGGGTTTGTAAGAGTAAGGGAGTGAGTGCACAGGGGCTTGAGTTACAGCAGCTCTGTGCAGCAGGCCACGCTTTGACCTTACATATAGCCTCTATTTCAGGGGTGGGCAAACTTTTTGGCCCAAGGGCCATATCGGGGTTGCAAAACTGTATGGAGGGCCGGGTAGGGAAGGCTGTGACTCCCCAAACAGCCTGCCCCTGCCCCCCGATTGCCCCCCTCAGAACTCCCAACCCCCTTGCTCCTTGTCCCCTGCTGGGACCCCTCACCCCTCTTCAACCCCCCCGATCCTGGTCCCAGTCCCCTGACTGCCCTGCCCCCTATCCACACCCCCACCCTCTGACAGGCCCCCCGGGACTCCCATACCTTTCCAACCCCTACTGTTCCCTGGCCCCTGACTGCCCCCCCACCAGAACTCCCACACCGATCCAACCGCCCCCTGCTCCCTGACTGCACCCGGACCCCTTACCATGCCGCTCAGAGCAGCATGTCTGGCAGCCATGCTGCCTGACCGGAGCCTGCCATGCTGCCCTGCAGGACTGTGCAGCCCTGCCGCCTAGAGTGCTGCCCATGTGGCTGTGAGGGAGGGAGGACAGTGGAGGAGGGGCCAGGGGCTAGCTAGCCTCCCTGGCAGGGAGCTCAAGGGCCAGGCAGGACAGTCCCGCGGGCCGTACTTTGCCCACCTCTGCTCTACTTATACTTGGGCTGATTCTTAATCCCGCGCACCCTGCTGCAGCTATTATGCAAGGACTTGTAGGATCAAGTACTTAATGGCAAATGGGGTCTACTTTGAGCCTTTGCAAGGTCCTTTACTGAAGGAGTCTGACTCTCCAGTGTTTACTGTGAACAACCTGAGCAGCAAGGAGGACTTTGCACTTGACTAACATGTTACTATTGTATTTTAGCCCTAAAACAATGAAACATTGGATAGATAGACCTTCAAGCAGCCAGTCCAAGCTTCCTTTTCTGCCTTGAGTGCTCTCACTGTTCGTCTGCCATTCTGTATGCTAAGAGAACTTGACATGTCTGCAAAGACCTGTTACCTGTAAACAATATTTTTCTGTCCTCAAACAAGAAGTTGAACAATATTCACCTCATTTGCCTATATTTCACTTTTTTCTTACGAGCCAGTCAGAGTGAAATCTAGCTTCCCAACATTTAGCTCTCGGACAGAGACGGGCTTTTTAAAAAGCTTCTGCACCAGCTTTCCTAACTCCATGGTGAAATAGCTACAAGAGACCTGTGACTGACTACAGTTCAAAGCTGTTTGGGATGCAAGAAACAGAAATGCTTCAGATTTATAGCACCTGCCATCTACTGCAACACGCCAGGGAGTTAGCTTTCACTTTCAGCTACTTGAGCAGATGATGCAGTAAAAGGAAACTCAGGGTGGGGATGAAAGATTTGTTTACTGATTGGCATTTTTAATTTTGGCGAGTCCTCATTTCAACCTTTTTATGGAGGGAGACACCATTTTTCTATCTTTGCTCCAGATAAAAACGTTGACTATTCCAGCATCTTTGAATCATTTTGGGGCTCAGGACACAACTGCCCCTTGACTTTGAAAACAGTTTTACAGCATGGTGAGTAATTTGGGCCTCCAGTCCATTTCAATGGGCAGCAAAACCACTTGGTAAAAGCAAAGTGCCCAATGCATTAATAAGTGTTGACTTGTACAACGTGGCACTATGTTCCTGTTGATGGCACACTGTACTCTGAGGAGTCGCTGGATGTTACTGACACGTGTGGCATGGATGAGCACCGAGTGGATGAGCAGTGAGTGGTCAGTCCAGAGGAGCATGGAGCGCTTTTGACATGAATAGAGGTGGGGAAAGGATTGCTTTGTTCTTTGTGTGCGAAATCAGCAGGAGTCGCAAGCTTGTCTGAAGTAAATGCAGAGGATATGCATTGGAGTGTATCCAGAGGAGAGGGAGGGGAGTCTATAGCACTTCCATCGGAAGAAACTGGGCTGGAACAGCGTCCTTCTCCTTGTAAGTACCGAATGCACTTCTTTTTCCTCCTAAGAACAGTGAAGAGAGTTATCTGTAAATAAAGGGTGAATTTACAGTGTCATATTTAAAATGAAAACTTTACAGTATTCACTGTAAACAGGGCACACAGCAGAAATGAGTGCTAAAAACAGAACATCAAATTACAAAAGAAAAAAATCCAATTTATTTAAATGCTGAGCCAACAGCCCCTCTCTTCTGGGCCTGTAAGTCTTGCTCTCTGCTACTCTTTGTTAGATAACTGTATAACTGGACTGTCCAACTCCATAAAGTATTTGGAGATAGCCTTTGGCTGACAGCCAGTGTGCAGAACAGAAGTGGAGGACCAAATTCAGCTCTCAGCTGAACTGGTATAAATGCAGAGTAACTTTAAAACGTCGGTACAAACCGGCATAACTCAGAGTAGTACTGGGCCTGTGTTCTCTTTGATTACCTTCAATTTCCAATCATTGTCACTAGGTGGCAGCATAACAACAGAATTCAGCCTTACTTTATTTGGCTGATGGATAAAGAAACAAAGGCCCTATCAAATGAAGACCATCCTTTCCCAGTGACAAGAATAAGAATGGACAATTAGACTAATCCAGAATGAGCCAAGAAATAAAGCTTCAGCTGACACCATTATTCTCAACATCTCGAGTGTGGTGATTCAACAGGTGCACCCACTTACATCAGACCTGAATTTGACCCCAGTCTAGGGCCTGGTCTATACTTTGGATTAATTCCAATTCAGATGTCAGACCCCAGCAACAAGTATGGCTGCAACAGCTGAAACCCCTTGTAGAATCAGGGAATGCTGTGATTGGCACTTCTTGAATTTACCTCTGCTTGACACTGGGGTGAGCTGAGCAGGTGCAGATTGTGGCTTTCTTTGCCTATACCTGGCATATGCAACCTTGCTGACTTCCTACAAATGAGACCCAAAACAAAGCCTAGGTTTGTGGAAATTGTGCAAAGGCTTATGGTCAGCATGAATTGCCATGCAAAGTTCAAATGTGAGCATGGACACCCTCCCTCACTTCTAACAAAGGGGTGCGTGTGATGACTGCGATGGAAGTGCTACCTTCTGTTTTAACTTGGAGAAAAGGGCTGAATCTCAACTTTGTCTTCCATGTCTAGCCCAGGATCCCAGGAGGAATAAAGGAGCTGGCCAACAATGTACTGAAAGTACTAAGTCTAAGGAGCACTTACTTTGTGCCTATGTAGCCCAAAGTCATTTCTGGGAAGATGGGCAGTGTTGCATTTGTATGAGAAAGCTGGACCTGGCTATGGCTGGGAAAGAGTCACACCCACTACAGAAGTGGGTCACCCTGCAAGGGGAGACAATTATGAAGCAGCAGCCAGGGCAGATCCCTTCAGTAAGAGGGCGCTCAGCCTTGGTAACGTGACAATGAAACGGAGGCACAGAAAGGGCTGCCGTTATCTGGCCCAGACAGCAGGTCCTTAAGTGAGGGCCCCTGTGATAGGGTGTAAAGCCCACACTGGTTCCCAGAGGGTTAGCAGGAGTTTGAATGCTCAATTAATGGACCTGCTGGCATTAGAGAGGTGTCAAGTGGGTAAATTAGCAGGTCCACCTGGAAGTGAGTCAAGTTTCCTTAAAAGGCTTGAGAGGGCTCAGCTGGAGACAACCCTGCTGTCTGAAAGTGGGCTGATAGATGTCAAGAGAGAGAATTGGGAAAAGCAGTAAGAGGGGAGCTAGTTCTGGTGGTGGGTCTCAAACCAGGGTCAAAGCTCTGAGGAGACGGTGCTGGTGTTCAGCTGAGGAGCAGAGTACTGCAGAAGGCTTGTGAAGAACTCCAGTTCAAGCCCAGCATGGACAGAAGTGGTTTAAGTTTGAACTTTTGGTTGGGGATTTGGAGAATTCCAGGGGAATCCTGCAAGCCAGGCCCTGCAGGAAGGGTAAAGCCTGAGACCTCTGGGAGCCTAGGGGGCAATGTAGGTATGTGGTGAGTCTAGGAAGGGGCTGGTATGGGGGCCGATGTCCTGGCTGAGATAGGAAGAAGCTCAAGGTGGAAGCAGATGGCCTGAATAGAGAGACCTTGCCTGCTTATAACAGGGTCTCTGGGCTGGAGCTTAGAGAAGCTGGGGGGCCTGGGTTCCCTTACTGGCTGTCAGCAAAGGTTATGCAAAGACCCTGCAAACCAGGAGTGGAAGGACTAGCAAGCTGGGACTTGGGTCAAAGAGTTGGCTTGAGGATGCAGGACTATTGTTTGTTGGATTTTTGGTTTCCCTGGAAGAGAAGACACTTTAAAGTGACCTGGCTGGATGGGTTGAGTCACCAAAAGAAGCATGTCACCACAGAGCCGGAACAGCTGTTGGCAGGGGGCACAGAGAGCACGCTATGCCACAACCAGCCACAAGGGGGTGTGCCAGTGGTGAGTCCTCTTCTACAGCTTCCTTATCCTTTCCAGTCCTATAAGTACTTTGAAATACTGGTTTTACCGAGTGGTAGGAAGTGAAGGACTAATGAGGGTGTTTGGACAGCCTACCATGCAATGGTCTGGCACTCAGACCACACTAAGCTGAGATCTAGCTGGACCACATAAGCTAGGCAGGTACTTGGCTAGGATACAGGGAAAGCCCAAGTGCTGTGGGAAGTGAAATGGTGCTGGTAATTCAAAGGGAAAAGTGTCACCTACTGAATCCAGACTGAACCACTGCCCAGTCATGTTCTGAGATCACTGCTGCAACTGGTGGTTCTTTCAGATCGGACGTAACGCTTTCAGATCACTCACGGCCTTCTCCCAAGAGAGTGGGTGTTACCCCAGTTGGATTTTGTTGCTGAGGTTAATTGTCTACCTCCTTCCCTGTGGATATTTCAGTTGGACATAGACTCTTTCTCTTTCTTTTCCAAGTTGTTGAGTAGTGTTAGCGTGGGCTGTGTGTTACCCCAGAGGTGGCTACGCTTGAAGCGCAGAACAAACAGATTTCTCTCTATACATGTATCTCAAACAATCAGTTGTAAGACCTGTAACGTGTTCAACATTTGTTAGTATTTACGAGATAATTTTTATGGTAGCTTGACAACCTACCAATAGTTCGTTCTGAGAACCCAACAACGATAGCATGTTGGTAACATCCCTGTTCAGTGAAGGAGGAGGGGTGCACCAACCTGAACTCTTCTACAGCTATAGTTTGAAGTGGAAACAAAGGCACAAGGAAGAATGATTTGGGAACAAAGTAGTAACTGGGGAAACAAGGAAGGATAACTACAGCATTCTGCCCTTCCCCTTTGGGATTAGCCAGTGGAAAGGATGGCAGTTTCCCCAGAGGATTGAAAAGAGGCCAACATTTTCAAAAACTGCACTCTAATTAGCGGTAGGGCGCTCATGTCCCTCCATTCTAGCTGCAGTGTCACTCACTGAGTTTCCTCTACCTGATCCCCCTCTTGTGGCTCTGCTTCCTCGGCAGAGACAGCCTGAGGCATAGCAGATGGCCACCCATGGCTCCTCCTAGAAGAACAGATGTATCACCAGTGCCATTCTGAACTGTTTCCTACATCTGCCCACCCTGGTTCCTCCTGAAGGGGATCCTTGATCCCGCCTAGGCCTCCACAGTGTCTCTGGATCCCAAATTCTTTGCACTGGCTGTGCAGTTTAAAACACATTTAAAGCACAACCACAGAGCACTCTGGGGCATATCTAAGACTGAAACATGTTCAGCTACCCATGGCCGAGCAGGAACAGGGACCACCTTTTGGAGGAGGAAAAACTGCGAGGTACGGGACTGGGTGGGTTGGCCAGAGGAGGAAAGTGGTCAGAGGGTGCCAAATCCCTTCAAGTCCGGGATGGTAATGAATCTAGGGCCAGCATTGTCCCTGCGGAGGTGCCTGGAGAAGGAGGAAAGTCAGCAGAGTCAGGAATACATATAATTGTCTGGCCTGTGAGGTTTCTGGAGGGTAGAACTCCTGTTTATACTGGTGTATGGGCCACTTGCAGTTGTTGTTGTTTTAAGACAGCAGCTGTCATGACAACTCCATTGCTCACACTTCAACCAATGTACCTTCTGGGTGAGGAAAGCTTACCATGAACTGTCCCTGTAAGAAGCTCAGACACTGGTAAGGAGTGTGGTGGAGGTAGAATAGGGAGAAGTGTTTTTGAATGAACCCCTAACCAAACCCTTGATTCAAAACTTTGCTCAATGGACTGTGATTAAACAGCTGGTCAGAGGTTGAAAAAAATCCATTCTAAAATAAAGACAATAGGAAAATGGACAAATTCACAGCAAGTATTCACTAAAATATTCCACTAGCTGTAGCCTCACATGACCACAGTCTTATGGACCAGATCCCTTTGTAGGACAAACTTTAGCCACTTTGAAAAGCAAACTTTCACACACATCCAGGCAGAAGAAAAGGGTACTTGAGGCGTGCAGTCCACCCTATACATCACTGCAGAAGAGTGTCTCCATGGGCCCTATTCATTCACGTACTATGAGGATGGATGCTTCAAAAGTGCATGTACTAATAATCATCTTCTCTGTAAACTTACTTGGCAGTGCGTCATTGACAGGTTATCCATTGTCCAATCTACTTGGAAATGCTAAGATTTAGCCTATGTTTAGTTATCTGTATGTATGCAGGACGTTTAGTTAACTGTAAGTACGTAGGAGGAGTTAAGCTAGTGTTTTCAGTGTTACAGCAAGAAGGCCTGGACTAAAGTTATCACATTGCCCCAGTTCACCTGGTCTCTAGGATTTCTATATTCAAATCTCTAATTTCTCTTCAAACAGGAAGACATATTTTTATAAACCTTTTATGCCACCTAACATTGGATCCTCTCCACTTTCTCTCTATATTGTTTAAAACGGAGCCCTTCGGATGTGATCTCACATGTCCTGAGGGGAACAACTCTTTCCTTGAAGATACTGGTGATTTTGAGTTTAGATTCCCAGCTGAGAGGGTAGAGGGTAGACCACACTACCTATTGTGGTCAATCAAGTTCAACCCCCTGCTTAGGTGTCCCACTTCAGAAGCACAGCTAAAATACAGTACTCTAGGGCAGGCATACATCTGTCTCTGAGCTTGCTAATGAAAAATGGCCTTGTGTTAGAACATGTATTAACTAATATGGTATTAAACATGACTTTGCACTCACTGCTGCACTTATGTGTCAGTGTTGTGGTTAACTTTAGGGTGAACCAGCTGGCATGGTATAAAACACGACAGTCCTTGTGTAAACTGAATGTTCACCACCGGTGTTCGTTCACGTGGGTTCTAACAGGAGAGAATTCTCCACTGTAAACAAGCCCATGGTGAAGTTGTTTCCCCATGCCACCTCAGGCACTTGCTGCTATGCGTGAGGGGGTGCAGGAAGAAAACTGACTGCTGTATTTATACTCCATCAAAAAATCTGTTTGGGGGAGAGGGAAGGTTAATGAATTGAATGAATCTCTTTAAACAGTAAAATTATAAACAATAAGGAGACCTGCTGTGTCTGATTCGATACATTAACCCTCAAGGCCTAAAATTTACATGTATGCTATGCAACTTAAAAGATAAATGGACACACATACACCTCATGACTTAAGCTGTAGAGACTTCAATGGATTGATTAGACTAGGTTTACTAACTATATAGATTCCACCATCTTTCCTCTAAATGTTGGATGGAAAAGGAGTCTCATAGGACCAAGCTTTCCCATTAGGATTTACAGATTATACTAGCAGAGCCAGAGGAAGATAACAACCTCTGAGGGGACAAAGCATTTTAATCAGTTAAATCTCTCCCATTTTGGAATGGATATTCTCTGGAGGTTTCTGTCCGAGGCAGAAGTCAGTGATGAGGAAACATACATTTCTGAAGCCTCCAAGTTGGCTGTTGTGTATTAGTACCTGGAATTGCAGAACAGCTGCTATTAAATAGTACGTGAGATGTCAGGGTAAAACATTAGAAAGCATGCTCAGGTTTTAGGAGCACTCCAGCAATGCGTGTTAGTTGGTAAGCAACGTCAGGCAAAGCAAAGTGTTAGCACGGCATCCTAATTAAGAGATCTCAAATAAACTTGGGAGTAAAGATACGAAGACTGCCCAGACACCTAGTAATTGTGCTCTTCATGGCTGTATGGGAGACCTGGATTCAACACTTTGTCCTGGTCTGTCAATTCTCTGACTGGCACTGCTGCTAGGAAAGGCCTACATCACACAAGAGGCTCTTTGACCAATTTTAAGGTGCAGCATTCAGGGCTGCCAAGGGCACCCCTGTCTTCCAAGTTCAGAAAGATGGTGATTGTAGTGGCATCATGAGGGTGTGTTATATTAAAAATGGAAATGAGGAATTTTATACAAAATTCCCCAGTTGAAAGATCAGATACAAACAGGGAGCCATTTTGTGTAGGAGGAGAATACAAGGGGTTAACTAAGCCTCTTTAGGACCAGTGACAGACTGGTCCAATTTCCAGCATAACTACATGACTTGCATGAGGACGCTGCCAGTTAAATAGGAAGGATAGCCAGTATCTGACACCCTGGCTCAATCACAAGTGATTTATTTATTTTTCAGCCCCAATCTGGAAGCCCCAATTTCCAGCCAAGAATGTACCAGCATCACAAGCTGTGATCGGCCAACGTCTAGGCCCCTCATAGCTGCATATTCCTTTACATTAAAAAGCAAATAATCTGAATCTCTAATGCAAATAACTTTCAGGTTTTGCTAGACAGAAGCCAAAAGATGGTACTATAATGCCCTGTGGCTCGCAGATTATGCTGAGAACTATTCAGACACCACTTTCCTGTACACACCTCTCCTCTGCTCAGGCTGCATTTACTCCTTACATGGTTGTCCAGAAGTAGGTCATGGGCCTCCCATGCCTGGGAATGTTTAATGACCCTCTGACCCAGGTAAGTTCACTTGTCAAGCTATTTCCTCATTCTATTTCCACATTCGTTCCTTAGAAGCCCGAGTTGGTGGAGTCCTCAGACCATCTCATTGCTTGGGGCACTACGTGTTCTAGTGGCCGTGTGCTACTGCAATGGACACTTTTAGTCCCAAATGTAAATAGGTAAAGGCAGCCCTTTGGGTACACTCTAGGGCCCCTCAAAGCGGTGGTCATGTAGGGGGGGAAAAGGCTCCACATTAGGTCCCTCTTCGGAAATCGGAAGATCGGGGGCGGAGGGAGAGAGCAATAAGCATTTGTTTTCTTCCATTCCACACGTGCACCAGTGTGTAAGGATCTCTCACCCTGTAGATCAGCCTCTCAAGAACAGCGAAATAGGAATCTTAATAAAAACATGTAAAATATTACATGCGCTTCGCCAACCTGGTATAAGAAACATATGTTGACTTTTGGGTCTAGCAACCTTGACAACATACTCTCTTTTCTCTTAGACATTGAAAGAATTTGGGTAGAACCTTCAGAAATACCAGCCCACAGCAGTGATACCCTGGGAAAACCTTCCCAGTTTGGAAGGAACAAATTTTAGCAATGCCAGTAGTTTGTTTTGTGTGTTAGGAGCCAAGGGCACTAGAAACATGCATGGAAAAATAAAACCACATAAAAGGGGGGGAAAACAACGCGCTCAGGAAAAGGCACTAAAAGCAGAGTAGAGTTTCTCTGATACACACCTGCATGGGCCGCACCAGTCCGTTTGTTGGTTGAGGCCAAAGCGAGCTCTGCATTTCTTAGGAGAGGCGGGATCTGAACACAGAAGCATGCGTGGCGGAGAATGGGCAAGACAGAGGCACAAAGAGGAGGAGGAGGAGCAGGAGGAAGAAGAAGAAAAGATGCAACATCATTTCAGCCACTTAAGACAAAACTAACAGACTAAAATCCAATTCTTCAACAACGGAACTATTCAGACACCACTCTCCTGTAAAAAAGGGATGGTTAGGCAAGTATCAGAGAGATTACACCTGGCGGGTGGGGGGAGAGAAGTTTGGGAAATGGCCTCAGTTACAGATGTTGGAGACTTTGTTCCCTCCCACCTGTGGTGCTCCCCCAGCTCAACCACTTCTCCACAAAGCCGAGTTCAGCTACAGGAAAGCTAGGAATTTACCAGGAATTCACTGCTTCTTATTGAATCTCTGATTTGGCAGCATTTCAAAACTAAGAAATTTGACAGCCGCCCATTGCCTCCTGTATTGAAATCCTTACTGGTTCCCTGGTTAAGTGGCCGGCCAAAGAACTCAGTCCTCATATATATATATTAAAACAGAAGAGGAAAATATTGCAGAAGCAGATTGAAAACAAATAGCACCAATAAGACCCATATGGGGCAATTCCATTCTGCTTCCCTAAATTCTCTCTCTAGTGCTAATGGACAAGCTACTCTTTTCTGCATGTACTGCCCTAAAGTCCTGTGCAGTGTTGCTGTTTGACATAGGGGCTGATTAGAGCAGTGCCCTATTTTCATTTAGATACATGTGAACTTTTTTGCACTAGTGTAAATGAGATCTGAGCAGTACCTTTGTGTCAATGTCACTCTCATAACTGCCAACTTCTGTTATGTGCTGTTAATTGGCAGCTGCCTTCCAGCCCAAAGAGGGCTGCATTCCAGTGGTGGGTGAAATTATTATTTTTACACCACGTATATTACATAAAATCTTACACTTGTTATCAATCTAGGCAACAACTGAGATGAAAAGTTAACTTACTGTAAGAAATGTGCAGTTTAGCTTCATGAGAGACACAAAGCAGATGCCTTAACGTTTTCTCTTGATGTGATCTAACAAAGGTCCATTAGTATTGCTAAATTAGAAATGCTTCCAAATCTACGATGTGAATAACTTTGGATGGTGTGGGTGTGCGCACACATCTATACACACACAGTGAAATCTGCACAAGGGTCCACTTCCAATAAAGAGCACTTGGTAGTAAGCAACCACGTTAAAATACACCATGGTTTTCAGTGCAATTTTGTTTGACTTTTAGGCTACTTCTACTACAAAAAGATTTGTGATACGGTCCCTGGGGTGGTCTTTAAAGAAGTTTCATAGCTCTTAGATACGCAATATTGGTGCATCTAATAGATAAAGGCATCACTTTTGACTATAGAACATTGGTGCCTCCTGTCACTCACAACCTAGTGGAGCATTTCTCCTGCATATCTCTGTGGCAGAACAAATTGTAGACGTGACTTCTATTAAAAATGATTTATTAGCCACAATCTAGTTTGACTGCAGTGTTGTAGCTGTGTCAGTACCAAGATATTAGAGACCAGATGGGTGAGGTAATCTCTCTTATTGGACCAACTTCCACTGAGTGAAAGAGACAAGTTTTTGAGCTATACAGAGCTCTTCTTCAGGTCTGGAATCTCTCTTGCTCAGTTTTCATGAATGCCATCCATGTTCTGGTCCACATGTGTTTTTTAAGAACAAGATAGTTAACTAACTTACTGTGGCTTTAAAATATACCATTTTTTAGCTTTAGAAAACTGACTGAATGAGCTAAAACATGGATGGCAAAATACAACACCCAGTGATAAGCTACGGAGTAACATGCTGCATTCAGTACCAATTAGTTTACCTGAATTGGAGTCTTGCTGCTTTTCTCTTGCTCGTCTTTTCTTTTTTCCCTAGGATGTAAGAGGGAAATAATATTAGTTCACTTCTCAGAGAACTGGTGGAGGCTGCTCAGTATTATGAATACAACAATTGCAAGGGACTGTCATAGGGCATAAGTAAAATTCATGAAGCGTCACAACATCTGGAATTGTTGTTGCCCGTGAGGACTGAACCAAGCACCTTTGGAACTAAAAGCATGAGTCTCTCATGCTTAAACTAAAAAAAAAACAGGTCCATTAGCTCAGAGGCAGTAGCAAACTCAAACCTCCCAACATGACCTGCCCAGTCTGATATGTACATCTCCCTCTGTCATTTCAGTCATCACAGATGATGCAACGAGGGGCCTTGTATAGAACCAGACAGCTTTCTGTGTCATCTGATTGGCCTTTGCCCATCAGTAATCCACACACTAGGAATTAAAGGTGTGTGTGTGTGTGTGTGTGTGTATATGTGGTTTTTTTTCTTCCCAAAGCTATGGTTGATAACTTCTGCAAAAGGTTGCTGGTAAAACCAACCCTTCCTAGCGTTTGAGATATATGTACAGTACTTCCCATCAGTCATGGTTAAGATACAGTTTAGCAAGTCATGGGAGAAACCACTGCTTCATTTTCTGTCTGGTTTAGAGCTATCTGTCTTCACAGTTTCCAGAGATTATCTACTCTTTGATGTTTATTTTGAACAACCTTCTTGACAATTAGGGACAGCAAACTCTACTATGAAATAATACCATATTTTTAAATACAAAGGAAGAGACACAGATTCATGAACAACAACTGTTATACTTTGTCTCCCCTTCAGTGAGAGAAGTGCCGAGGCAGCACAGAGTGGGCTTTCCTTTGCCAGCCATATTCCCAAATGAAAGCACAGACCAAAACCAGTGATTTATTCCACAAATCAGATTAAGCAGGCTTAGGGATCTTCCACAAGGTAGCTGCCAAGAGGCCAGCTGAATCTTTGCAGGAACGAAACACTGCTTTTTATCCATATAAATGCCAACTCAACACAGATGGAGAGACAAAAAGATACAGCGCAAGCCCTCATGGAAAGGGAACACACTGGTAACAATTTAGGACAAGTATTTCAGCATACACTGGAAGTTACAGGATGCAACACACAATTTTTCAGAATTCACCAAACAGCAAATCAATCTCTCTCCACATACAGTAATATATATGGTGTATAGACAGACAGTTCTGGGGATGTAGGGCCAGATTGTGCCTTGATGATCTCTGAAAGTGCCAGGGGAGGGAAGGAAGCTATAAGGTGCCTCCTGCTTTGGGCCCCTGTGCAGCAGAGAGTCACCGTCATGGCCCGGCCTTGCAGTAGGGAGGGGCCTGAAAGAGCATAGGAGCTTTGTGCTCCTCTTGTGCAGCAGGAAACTTGGAGATGGAATTTCCTCTTCCTGAAGCTCCTCTTGGAGGAATGTGCCTAAAGACATGAGTAAACCGATAGGAAGGGATATCACAAACATAGGTAGCAAATTCTATAGAGAGGCTGGGCCTTCCTTAACTGTCATGAGGGAGTCACTAAAATGAGAGGGGATGAGCAGTTACATCAGTTCTGAGGATGCTAGTTACAGATAAATAATTAGCTGTGACACTCTAAGTACCTTTCCCAGACCAGAGGAAGAGCTCTCTGTAAGCTCTAAAGTTTGCCTCTCTCACCTACAGAAGTTGGTCCAATAAAAGACATTACCGCACCCACTTTGTCACTCTAGATAAATCATTGTCAAGTAGTTAAAGAAGGAAATGCCCCAGTGTGGCAAATCATAGACTCCAGTCACAGGAGAATACGACCCCCAGTTAGACCAACAAAACACTTGATCTTAACTGGAAAAACAGAGAAGTGGTGGCTGGATTTTTTTTCCATTCCAAGGCTCAGTGCTAGGCACAAGGAATGGAAATTGATGCGGGTGACATGGCCGAACAGTTTGTTTATACGAACACCCGCTTTTCCATCTACACGTTCTGGTCCCCTTGAGTGAAACCATAGCCAGTGTTTTTTAAAATAACTACAAAAAAAGCTTTTGCTCAACTATCTAGGGCCTGTTTTTCACATTCCACAAATCTATTTTCTGGAATATATTTTCCTAAGTCCTGGAATCCAATATCATAAGCACTTTGATTATTCCACAACAGGCTGCAAAGATGGTGCATAAGATTTACATATAATTTAAGAAAAGTGATTAAGAGTTTGGAGACCACTGAGGCCCTCTCCACACTCTAGCTTTTACTGTGCTCAAACATGTTTAGTGTTAGCAAGGTGCTAACACTGCGTCCCTGATAATTGTGGGTAAGGTCAAAGCATGTTATGTAACTCTAGTCTACGATCACATCCACATTACAAATTCAGCTGCACTGAAGCAGCTGGTTAAAACACAGCTGTAACCCCTCCTCCTTTGGACTAAACTCCATCTGAGCGAAATAATGCTGGCATTTTAAATCCAGGGCACTCCATTCAGTGTTGCTTGTCAATGAGTGTCTGATGCCAGCTGCCACGGTGGCCCAGGCTTGACTTATGGGTATAAGTCGCTGGATAGTTTTGAATGCTCACCTTCAAGAACATTAGCTGGAGTATCAGGAGTAAAGATACCAGCACTACTGGGCTGGTCCTAGACTGAACTTTTTCAATACCTCAATGGAAAAAACACATCGTCCATTTGTTGCAATTTCTTCTTGTCTGTCTCTGTTCTGTTATGTTCTGTAACAGAACAATGTCCAATGACATACTGGGCATTGACTTTAAAGCAACATTTAGCCCACACTGTACTCTGAAGTGTAGTGAAAGGATTAAATAAATTCCATAGCCAGTGAGCGATTCCATGGCCATGGAAGTGTGAAAAGCTCAGGGCTCCTGGAATTCTGCAGCTAACACTGGAGTCGGTGGGTACAGAGTGGCAGACAGCTATACGTTCTCACTGCTGCAGAGTTGACTAACATTCGCTGCAGAATTCTCTTACCCTTGCCGCAGAAACTGGCCCTGAAGTGCCGCAGAATTCCAGGGGCCCTGAGTATAACTGAGTGTGTTCACGGGCTGAAGAGCCTGAAGACTGAAGAGCAAAGTATTAAAATAGTAAAAATGGTAAAGTTTTAAAATAGTAACTGATCTCTAAATAAATCCAATACATGCACAGAAGTTAAACAGTGTTGTCAATGCCCTAGACTTTACTACAAGTCTCACAATGGTTGTTTTTAAAGTCCCAGCTCATAGAATTATGGTATGAGAGAATCTCAGCAGACAAAAATGGCCCTCATGGTTGCAGGGAGAAGCTTGAAATCATGAACCTTAAAAGCTCAAACAGCAGAAGGCAAATAAAAAGAACCCCAAATGTATTACTTTCAAAATATCAGGAGTGGGTTGTGCGTGTGTGGGGGTTGTTTTGTTTTTAAGGTATGACTCTTGACTGCTTGGGGTTGGCAAAGCTGGGTATAAATGAGATCCAAAGAGCAAAGTAATGCACTGTTACTTGATTGACAATACGGTACTAGTCCCATCTTTAAGTCACTAATGGTTAATCAGCAAATCCCTTCTTGTTGCCTCCCGGTGTGCCAAAACTGATTCTGCAAAATGGCAACTGGCTGGTTAAACAACCCTAAGAGGTATCTTCTTTCTCTCAGTATGTAGATGTTCGAGAATATGGTCAAGATAAATTCATATGTTGCCTGTGTTAATAATCTACTGTGTTGTTTAGTATTTTCTTCAAACTACCTCTCTTATCTGGGTTGCCAACACCATACGGCGATATTTCAATTGAATCCTTGCCTCCTCCTTCCCCCGTGTTTTCACTGGAATTGTTTTACATACTGATAGTTCTATTCACATTAGCGTTGGGTCTAAACTACTGAACAACACTCTTTAGCTCCTCCCAGTGATTTACACCAGCAGTAAGTCTGGCCCATTTTTTTTTTTTTTAGACCAAAATATGCCCATGCCCAACTGAGGCACAGTGTGATCTTATTACCATAACTCTGGTCATTCCTCACAGCTTCCCTTCCTATTGCTTGTCACCTCACTGCATCACACAGAAAATGAAACTAAAATCTTTTGCAGAAGGGACCATGCCTTTTTATGTTTCTGCGCAGTGCTAGGCGCATTTTAGAAACTTGTAAAAATAAAATATATTTTATCTTCACGATAGTAAAGCAGTGCACTCTAAAGGAAGCCTATGTTAAGGCTGAGCAGAAGAGCTTCCATGGGATGGACAGTATTCTGTGCTGCTGACGTATCATGAAGAGAAGATGCTCTTCTTAGTGTACAATATTTGGTAATAACAGCCATGACCACATTAGCGTTGTTAAGGACTCTTAAAAATAGCCAGGTTTGTGTTTCAATTCTTTCTTCCACTGCTCTGGACCTGCCTATCAATTCTTCCGTTTCTTCTGCCCATTAATAAGGAAACACATTTTTATCCTCTACTTGCTTCTCTGACACAGAATGCATAATAACCCCCTTTGTGTCCCAGTGAGTTCTATTAACAAGTGCCCAAGAGCTGCTGGAGCAGATCTGTCCTGTATGAAAGGGCTGTTTGCCGTGCTGGCTTTGACCTGTGACGACTTATATGACTTCTTGTGGTTTGAGTGAAGGTGGAAAGCTCCGAATCGCGGTGAGCTTTTCTTCAGTGTGGGAGTAACTGTATTTCCTGTCTCATATCAAGGCACATGCCAAGGGCGTTGACCCAGATTCCTCCTCCCCATTTGAGTTACAAAATTGGGAAGATAGAAAAGCATTTGTTGTAGATACAGTGAGAAAAATCACAAAGCAGCCGCTTCCTGGCTTTGGGCACTCCTGTCCCAAAACAACTTTGGATGATCTGATCACCAGACTGCTAGAGCCTGGATGGCCAGCAGAAGATATGGGGTTACTGGAGAATTGCAGGTAGGGTGAGAGAATGTTTCCAGAGCACAGATGGCAGCTTCCCCCCCACCCATTTTTGAGGACAAAAGATTCGGTGAGAGAAATACAGAATGAGGAGATTTTGTTAAAGGAAGCACTCCATCCTGGTGTGTGTGTGGGGATGCAACCTGCTGTATTAGAGGCTGCTGGTATTGCCCTGGCTCTCATAACACCGCTGACTGCTGCTTCGGATACTGGTTTAGCAGCCATCCCAGTGGAATACACGCCACTGAGAATCCTGAAGAGCTACATGCAAAATCAGGAGATCCTTGGCTGAGGTTGGTGGAGCGCCACAGAGACAGATGCAGCCTTGTGGAATGAGGCGTCACGTGGAGAACAGCCTTTCGGGGAAGCCACAGAGTGGCTATAAACACAGTGGTGGTGTGACCATTTATCTTATCAGCACTCGGAGAGAAGGGAGCAGCTAAAAGAAAATGCAAGACTGTCATTGACTGCAATGGGCTTTGGGTCAAGTCCCAAGCTAACTAGTTAGGCATTTCTATCTAGGATCAAAATAAAGACTAGAAAAGCAAAGCTGAATGTGCATGTTTGTGTAGCACTCTTATGCCTATAAAACCACACTTAATGGGGTTGCCTCGTAAATGATCAGTACAGCTAAAAGAAAATGGGGGAAATGATTTATTTTTATAGTGGCTCTTCTCAAATGCACCACAGATTAGAAAGTAAAGAGGTGATGGGACTGTTTCAGACAGAAAACTCTACACCGGGGCTTGGCTACTGGAAGCATGTACTCGCTTGAAACTTAGTAGTCACAGAAACATTCCTGGAATGGTCAGGAGGAAAAAAAATCAACTTAGAACACAAAGAAAATAGTGCTAAAGGGACATCAGGATTAATGTGTCTGCTTTAAAATATTCTTTAGGGTCTAGTTCAAATAAGCCTTTGTGTTTCAAACTTCTCCCTTACTTGATTCCAGTAGATTTATCTCCTGCCACCTAAGGATGACCTAACTCTGTTCCCATTGAAGTGGATGGTAAAACTCCCCTTGATTTCACTGGGAGCAGAGTTTAGGCCAACAGGGAGCATTTTTGAAAATCCCATCTTCTGTAAATAGAACAACCTAATCGGATTTCTAGACAGAACAAAACAAATGACATTTCACTAATGTCTAATGAGTTGATTCAGAACTGCTACCAAGGCTGCTGGATCCTGCTGTTCTAGGAATCTAATCAAGAAGAGACCAAACATACAGAGAACTGGCGCGCAGTTAGGCTATATCAGAGATACTCAGATGTGGCTTGTTTCAGCAGCCGTGTTAGTCTGTATTCGCAAAAAGAAAAGGAGTACTTGTGGCACCTTAGAGACTAACCAATTTATTTGAGCATGTGGCTTGTGTGACTATGGCTTTGTCTACACTGGTGGTTACGGCATGTAGGGTGTGCATAGCTGCAGGCTGCGTCCATATTGCAGAGTGTAGCTACACCCATTGGGGAAAGTCTCTGGCAGGAGGAGGCGGCAGGATGCTACACTGCTATGAAGGCATGGCTTGGGTGCGTAGAGAGCCATGTTGGGTACATACGCCAGAACCTTAGGATGTCTTTACTCTACTCGCCTAAGCAGTGCCTTACCAGCTACTCTGCTATTTATACCCATGCTAGGCCGCTTTGCAGTGTATGTACTCTACATGCCGCCCTAAGTGTAGACATAGCCTATGGGTACTTGAAATCCCAACATTCAGTATGCTTCATGGCCTTCCCCATCGGTTACTTCAGATCATGCTTCACATTGCCAACAACCAGTGGGGAACGCTGCTCTGACACTGCCATGTGTTGAATCCAGCAGTGACAGCTGAGATGTTTACGGAGCAGATTTCTTGGTGGTCTATTCAGCAACCTTATTCTGGACGCTCGTTTGAAATGGTCATTTAAAATAGAAAGACTGCCTCTGGTATCCCTGCTCTGACAGGAGAATCATGGAAGAGTTAGGCTTAGTCCCCAGGCTGTCAGTACAACCGCTGGTGCTGCCATGTTTGGATATTCTTGTTTTAGTTGAACACCGTGAACGTAACATTTGTTTGCGACTCCTTTAGAATCACAGGGTCGGGCAAAGACCTATTAGATCAGGGAGTCAATCATCCTGCAAACGCAGCATATGAGCCCTGATCAGACAACATTGTGCTTACCTTGATGTAGGTTCATACCCTTATTTATGACAGCAGAATCATGAATGAATTGAAAGTTCACCCAGATAAGCTGCTAACCTAAGGCCAGGACTAGAATCTGTACAATGAAGATCATTACCTCCACTGTTGTGGAATTCTCTCCTAATGAATGGCAAGCCAAACAATATTGGAAAAAGTCCAAAGGCCACCAACTCAGCTGATGATAAAGGTGTTATAATAATGGCCAAGAGAGGATATAACCATGGTAAATGGAATTAGAGTAAAGAAACAATAAGGATCCCATTTGAAATTCCCCAAAGCTCATTAAAGTTCAGTAACTTTCACTTGTTACAGTATCTTTATAGCTAATTAACATTACTGGTTAATTGTTATATATGGGTGGGAAATACAACAGAATCAGCTTGTGAATATTTTATACTCTGTACAGTTAAGGAAACGGAAAATACAGACACTGATATTTCCAGTAACTTTAGGGCAGTGACTGATTCTGGGCAACAGAGCTGCTTCTGTACATTAGGCCAGAGCTGGCAAACTTATAAAAGGACTTTGTCTAGTTTCACATTGGTGTAAATCAGGAGCAATTCCTGTGACATCAGTGGAGTTACTCAGGTGTAAAACCGGCTTAAGTGAGAGAAGCATCAGCCCCAGAGCAAAATGATATTGATGTTACATGTCACATCATTCAGTAGGAATATTTCTAATTTTTTAGATTAAATAAATAGTTTTTAAAATTATGATAGAGTACTATAAGGATAGGTGAGAGACTGCTTAACCAGTAAGGGAGTTCATCTATAAAGCGTGTATACTTTCCACAGTTAAGGCACTCTTGAAGACCTACTGCCACCTACAGTAAATCTCCTGACAAGCACAATAAAGTAAAAGGAAAGAAAAAAGTGTGTTTCCTATTACCCCTAACCTCTGCCGACTGCTCTGCTGGTCTGTCTTTAGACTGCAAGCTCTTTAAGGCAGGGACCACTCCATCTTACCAGCAAAGTAAGTGCTACCATCAACAAATAATAAAAAATGAGTATAAAGTCTTTAAAGCATTAAATCTCCACAGGGGAGGTAGCCATATTAAAGGAGAAGGATTTTCTCTCGGTTATTCCTGAATCATAAAGCTGATCCCCCTAAGGAATTCAGGAAAAGGGCCTAACAAGCACATAGTGAGTGCTGTGGAAGTCATTGCAGCTCTCGATTTATCAATGTCTTAGGCCAGGAGTTCTCCAGATCTGTCATTCAGAGGCTGAGATTTCCTCCTAGACCCACTCCTTTCCTAACCTACGATGTGGTTCTCAAAACGTTCCATTCTGTGGATCACCATGAAATGCTCCTCTGTTGTCCATGGACCATAGATGGAAAACCACTGACTGCCTAAGGCCACACATCGTAGGAGTAAATTTCCGTAGGACTAATATTGCCAATGACCACTCAAGTAATTTAAAAATAATTTTCATTTCTACTTATTTTATATATGAACTTGGGTATTTTTATTAGATCTTCTAAGCTTCTATTCTAAGACAATAAGTAAGCAAACCTCCTTCATTTAGCAGCTGTTGGGAAATGTGACATGCTTGCCAAAAGTATACATTAATCCCCAGATGACAAAATGTAATATACTGCTTACACATATATTCTTATGTCTACGGGTATATGAATACCCTCCCCTCTATCACCTATCTGTATGAGTGCATTGGTGCGCCCCATGGCTATCAGGAGATACGGTATCAGGGACAGCTGTTAAATAAGGCAGGTGACATTTTCAAGTTCAACTATAGCTTTCTAAACATGCTGCCAAGATGGGGTCTTTAGTCCCTAGCTGCATTAAGCACTCACATAGTTATCTCTAGCAGACCAGCCTGGGTAGAGCTGCATGTGAAGCTGCCGTTCCTTCCGGGCCAGTTCATAGTACTTGGCCTGCTCCTCCCGTGACAGTGCGTGCCACTGCAACAAAAAGATGCGTCAGTTGTGAGACTCCTCAGTGCATTTCATCACCATCCCTCTTTGCTGTCAGAATGAGGTGAGGGCTAGACGGGCTCTCCTTCCATTATCCCTGGTGTAGTGACACTCGTGTCAGCTGAGTTCCGTCAGGGTAATTTGATGCTGGGTATTTACAGTGGCATAAGGACAATGTACACATTTTTAAAAGTGAGCCGCTCGCTACCTGCTTGAGGAAAGCACTGGTATGTGATGCAAGGCTGACCCTTGAATCTGCAGTGGTATGGCTAATTGGCTTCCCCAGGGAAGGAAGTGAGGGTTCTCTATGTAGCTAGTGGTGCTCAGAGCTGGTCTGACTGGCCCAGGGGCTGCCTGAGTTGCTGGGCGGACCCAGAGCCAGTCGCACCGGCCGCTCCACAAGTCACAGAATCTGTGACCTCCGTGACAAACTCGCAGCCTTAGTCATAATACCCCTTAAATTAGGACCCAGTGTCGGAGTGGTTTGTTACCGATAGACCAGTGATGTGTAAACTATCTTGTATTTCCACCCCTCTGCCCTCATACATTGAAAGGGGGTTTGTAAATGTTCATTTAAGTAACAGTACATAAAAGGCACCTACCCTGGTGGTTTAAAAATGTTATTTAAAAAGCACTAGTAGAGGAGACACCTTCCCATGGGCTTCATCCCTCTAAGGAACACCCCCATCCTTCCTACTGTTTGCTCATCTAAACATTTTATTCTGTGGAGTCACTAGTACACAGACCACATTTAAAGAAACACTGATTTTCCACAAAGCCTCACAGGTAAAAGTTTTGTTGTTAAGTAGCTGATCAGTTCTCTCTCTCTCTCTATGGGATTGTTAAGAAGAGAATGGCTTTGCTTAGAAGCAAGCAATATGTTCTGTTCTGTGGTCTTACCCTCCTTCCTAAAATCTGATTGATAGCTGCACTTTCTTTCAGGGTGCACTCAGCAATGACTTTTGCCCGCATTTCTTTCATATACAACATGAAAGCATTCAGGGGCTTCTTGATAGTGGGCTTCTTGGCTTCCTTCTCTCTCTTTGGTTCTGGTTGGGGTTTCCTTGACAGAAACAAAACAGTCAGTAACAATCAAGCTCTTGCATCTCCGCTATCCGAACTGAACAGAAGTCAGAAGAAACTGTTCCTCGTGAAAATATTAAAGAGTAAAACACTTGACCTCAAATGTAGACTAATGCGTATTTTATGCAACTAGGGCACGGACCCTTCTAACGATCATGCCCATCATTACGTTGGTGCCTTTCAGTTGATGGGGCAACAGTGTAGTGCTGCCAACCTTGCTTGTCGAATCGACAGAGTTGCAAACGTTCCACAACTGGCCTCCACAGGGTTTTACCACCCTAAGTGTCCCCTCCCATACAAACAGTGGAATAATTGAGACTCGGACTAAATAGTTAAGGAGATCATTTTGATAGTCTCACCCTTGTCTCAAGACTTGCTGACTTACATGCTCCGGTCGTAATGATCCATTTCTTGCTTCCCAGAGTGGGGTACTATGGCTGGATGAGGGATTCCAGTGGTGTGCATTCCAGAGCTCAGCATCAGGGGATGTGTAAACCTGCAACAGAGGGCATGTCAGTGATCACTGGGACTTTCTGTGTAGCACAACCCTCCCGCGATAAATGGCTGGATTCAGCTCTTAAAGGAGGATTCAGATATGGGAGAGAGACCCGTCTGCAGAACATTACTGCCAGATGAACAGGAAAAGGGGTGGCTGGGTACAGCTCTTTCTATCGGTAGTCGCGTCTGGCAGATGGAGAACACATCTTTTCTCACTAGATGGCACTCTTTGAGTTGTTTTTAAGTCACAAGAACAAATGCTAAACTGAAGTAAACAAAGCAAATCATTGAGATACATCCCTTATCTTATGCATCTCTGAATTTTGTAGGGAAAGCATTCTTCCTGAAAGAATAATAGGGGTCCATGTAGGGATGCCAAGGTGCTGCAGATCTGCCACGCCTAACCCAGGACTTTTCCATCCCTGCTGGTGCTCTAGCAGTAGTAGTTAAATAAAGGCAGCAGTGCTTCTCTTGGTTTCACCTGAAGAATGACACTTACAAAGTTTCTGAATCAATGAAAACAAAGGGGAGGTGTGCATTTTGCCTGGGGTCTTTGATACTTCTCTTTGGCTTCATCCATCAATACATCCCTTGCTGAGTATTCCTCTGTCATGATGACAGCGGATGAGTGGATAACATAGTAGCCAAACTGATAGCAGAAAAGATTTGGAACAGCATTCAGATTCCATGGGTCTTTTTTAATAAAAATTAATTTGCAATGTAATCTAGCCTTACAGCGATCAGCAGCTTTTATTATTTTTTTTTAAAAAAAGGCATTTTCAGATCTCGGTTGTCACACTATTTTTGTTAGTGTTACAGCAAAAACCAAAACCACACCAACATTTGGATTTGAATTAGGACCCCCATATACCTCTCTCTCCTTTTTTTTTTTTTTTTTAAACAGAAAAAGCATGAGTCTCAGCACAAATCAAACTGCAACCCTTGGAGGTACACCCAGCCCTAGCCACGTTATCCACCAACACAGAAATGAGTTCATAAGAGGTTTTACTAGCTTACAAGCTTCATTAGCTCTGTATAGATTTTTGAGATTATAGCCAGGCTTTGCCAAACTTGCCATTTTATGGCTGGAGCTTGGAGAGAGCAAGAATTTCCCCTGGGAGATAAACAACTGTTCATGAGATATGTTGTCACACACAAAAAAAGATGTTTTGATTTGATCCATTGGCCACACTGAAGTTTGATCCTCCTCTGACAAGGTGTTCTTTTTTGTCTGCAGTATTGCAAAACCTGTCCCACTCTATAGTATATGTGAAAATGCCAACACCATGCAAGATGAGATTTTTGGGCAACTATTGAGGACTGTAAACTCCTCTCTATCATTTTATAGTCTATTTAGATGCTCAGACAGGAGAAGTTGCCTCAGGCAGCATGGTGGAAAACTAAAGTAATAGGCTGACTATTTTCCTGCCACTGTTCCAGGGATAAGTCCCTGAAGAAAGCCTTCAACAACAGTTTGAATGTTATCTCCTACATATCATGACAACACATAGCAGAAGCAAAAGCTGGAGATGCGAACAAATGTTGCTTGCACATAAACTCCCATGGGGCTTAATCTATTCTAGCTGAAGAGACCAACAGGAGCATAGGGGCTTGCTGTCGGTTGGCGGAAGGAACAATGCAAGCGTTTGTAATGAACTCTTCATAATTTTGTCCAAACATGTTTGTAAGCGCTCTAGTGCTATGTAATTGTAGGACAAATCCACACTTAAGGGGCAAATTGTGTTAACAGGCATGCCTGTGCAATCAGTGGAAACTGTGCACATGTATATGAAGGCAGAGTTGGGCCCGTCATGTTCATAAATCTGCCAGGGTAACGTATGGAGAAGAGAGGGACATTGCAGTACTCCAATGTCCTAGGCTTGTGTTGCAAAATGCAACTTGCTCTGTATGTAAGTTTTATTGTGTTCTAGCGGCCAGATCCTCAGCTGGTCTAAACTGGCAGAGATCCACTGAAGTCAATGGAACTACACTGTTCTATACCCGCTAAGTACCTGACCCTAGGTTTTTAAGTTTTGTGGGAAGGCTTTAATAGGGGTTAGCAAGGAGTTAGTTCCAACAATCCAGTGATGCAGCATAGCAACTCCTCATCCTTCTACTGGAATGCAGGGAAGTGCAGCAGGAGACAAATGGAATTTAAAAGGCTCAGATGTTCAAATTTTGCAGTCATGGGGACAAATAAAATCACTGGTAGTGATCATACTCTCCGCCAGCTTTACAACCTGACCAAGAGCCAGTAAAACATGTCAGTCTCCGCACAACATACCTCAGTCCATTATACTGAGGAAAGGAACATTTCTATCTCTAGTAAAGATTACAGTTCAAGGTAAGGGAGCTGTTTGGAGTGGCTGCAGTGACACTGTATATAAAAACTGGACCTCATCCAATCTTTATAATATTGATAGTGGGGGATTTTTTTTATATTTGGTTTTAATCAATAAAAAAAGTATAAAAATAAAATCTTTGTGGCTTCTCCATGGAAACTCAATGTTTTTATGATTTTAGAAAGACTTGACTAAAAGCAAAATTCTTTCCCTGCTCCTGCCATCTGGAAGCTTGACAGCCCCTCCCTGGACGTTTGCAGTCTGCTGCAAGCTTGTATGGCGCAAGCTGCGAGACCAGCAGAGCTGCTGTCTTGTCTCACACAGCTCATACTTACCTGGAGAAAGTAGCCCCAGCAGAGAGCGCTGACGAATACGGCTGTCTAAATCCACATGACGGAAGCGGATAGACAGACTGGCTCTGCCTGGGATCGGGAAGAAAGAGTCTATAAAGCATCTACATCCGTGTGGCTTTTCCTAAAAATATCCTCTATAATTGGACTCATTGCTACTCATTGATGTGAAAGCCTTAGTCGCTCTGGCGGCTAGAATGTATGCCACAAGCATCTGTCTTTTCCAACCTCAGCGCAGAGGTAATGCAGATGGACCCAGATTGCAAAGTTCAGATCTGAATGTGGATCCCAACTTCCCCCAAATGTTGAAAAATACTAGAGCATTATGTGAGTGTATCACTTCATTAGCTCTAAACAGTTTAAAATCTGCTATACAGGTATCAAGATGAAAGGTTCAGGTGGATTATTACTGTAGGAACACATTGTTCAGCAGTGCACACCCTAACTGAAAAAGTGTTTACAAGGCATAGACACTTGCTGTGCAATATCAAGATGAACTGCCAAGTTCAAAATCAGCCTCTTTCCCACTCTGGTGATTAGGGGAATGGTCAACCAATCAAATATTTGCACCTGGGATCACTGGAGTAGCAGGCTTTGGTAGATCTTTTAAGTCAGTAAGGAAAACAACACACTGCATTATACCGTTTTAAAATGATCTGATTTCAAAAGTAGGAGACAAACTCTCAAGTGGTGAAAATTGGTGTAGCTCCATTGAATTCAACTGAAGACTCTGACTTCAATGGAGCGATGCTAATTTACACTAGCTGAGGGTCAGGCCATATATTTCTTCAAATGAAGTAACGCTTACATTCCATACTCAGGACTGTGTACGCGCCAGGTTTGGAATCCGAAGCTATTTTTGAGTTACTGGAGTCCAAACGTCCGAATAACGTTCTTAATCAATGAAAAACCTTTTCATGCTCAGATAGGTTAAAATACCCCCATCAGAATGGATTTTCTACACACTTTCCAAAAATTATTTCACCTCTGGCTTAAAGTTGGGCATGAAGTTTCAAACTTAAAGAAACTGAAATGAGAGGTTTTTTTACTAAGCACAAGCAAATTGGGGTTTAGAACAGAAGTGCTGCCTCATTCGTTATTACTGAACATGATCGGTATTAACGGCTTCAATTGATTTCCCACCCTTCTGAAAATGAGGTCCATTATTATTATTATTATATCCCCGAAGCATCCAGATGTCCTGCAAAGGACTGGGATTGCCTTTTGCCTGGTGCTGTTCAGACAGAGGTAATCACGATGCCTGCTCTGAAGAGCCATCACTGTGGAATCATGGCACTTAGCCCCTCAACCCGAAAGAACAAGGTTGTGTTTATGGCACTCAGGGAATTACTGTGTCTCAGCTTGATGAAATCTAAAAAGCTCTGTGTGTATTAAAGTTGCAAAAAAGAAAAGGAGGACTTGTGGCACCTTAGAGACGAACCAATTTATCTGAGCATAGGCTTTCGTGAGCTACAGCTCACTTCATCGGATATGCATCACGAAAGCCTATGCTCAGATAAATTGGTTAGTCTCTAAGGTGCCACAAGTCCTCCTTTTCTTTTTGCGAATACAGACTAACACGGCTGCTACTCTGAAACCTGTATTAAAGTTAGTGTACATGGTTGAGAACTGGCCTGCTCTGTTTACAACCAGTCAAAAATCCCTCTCACACTCCTTAGAAGTCAGTAGTGTATAAACATGTCAACAAACAGCCAAGTGCTACAATATATCAGGAACCTAAACAACCTTTGAAGTTTAGCATTCCTGCCCCAGGGGCGAGAAAACATTCAAAGTTAATCCAGAAGTGACATTCATTACTCTAGGGGCCAAGATATCTGAATATAAAAGGATCATGGCACTGAAGCCTTTATCCAAAGTGATTTTGACATGCAAATTAATTCAATTGCAAAACCAATCCATGATCGCTGGGAATGTACAATTAAAGATTTTATCACCCCATGATGAGAGAACAGCTTTTAGACAAAGGGGAAAACATAATAATGAGACAGCAGCAAACCTGGTGCATAGTTAAGCTGGTGAGCTGTGCAAATGACACAGTTTACAAGGCTCTTGGTTAAGGTGTGTTGTCAGGCTCCAGCGATCAAACTCACTGGACTGGACTATAATTCATTTTTATTCGAAGTTCCTGACTGTCATCCCAGCTAATTAAAGAGAGAGTTATTGCAGCTCCTCTTCTCAAAATGCTCAGCAGGAACAAAGACCATTTCTGCTGAACTCTTATTAGGCAGCTTGCTAAGGAAAAGCTGCTTCCTGTATTAAGACCGCTTTGCGTTTGAAGTCAGCTTCATTCCAGAACAGTGAACCTTAAGAACTGTCCACATACCACAGCACTAGTTATTGGCACAAGGAGTCTCTGCGGTGTTTCTTCTCCTACACAATTAGTTTCCACACTGTTTAAGCACCAAACCTCTGTAAAAGCATAAACTGGTGACCTATCTCTTTGATGAAACATTTGAAAATATCAGTCACACTTCCCTGAAGTGCGTGGGGAGAGATACAGCATTCGGGTTGTAAACACATACAGAAGGTCTAAGCGGACACAGCTGAGAACCATCTTTGCTTCTAGGCACTTCTCAAATGCAGAATTTCTTCATTTACATAACTCAGAGGCAGTTCTGACAGGGAACTCCCTTTGGGAGGCCCATCATTCCTCTGGGGGAAGCCAAGCTTGAAACTTACTGGAGCTTACCATGTGTTTCTGTTCACAACACATCTTGAAAAATAAGCATCAAACTAAAGTTTAGGACTGGGAAGTGGTTCTATGGAATTTTGTAAACTTCAAGCAGACAACTATTTTAAAAATTAAAAGTCTATATTACATACATTTCCTATTTGTAAAAGTGCTAATTGAAATGTCTGCTCTCTGATCCACAGGGCTGTTTTTCTATTTGTCATTTTACCATATCAGTTTCATTAGTCATTAATGAACTTGTCTGACTAGCTTGGTTAAAGGCGCCAAATCCTGCCAGATGCCGGCTGTCAGCAAAATGAATTTCCTGTCTGACCAGCAAACAAACAAACAAACATTTTGAGAAAGAGATTTTTTCCATGTAACTAGGCTGCCTTTAACTGTTTCCCATTCTCCCAGCTGTGCCTTTGGCCGAGTAGCTGCTTTTTCCTCCAATTTTTTTTTTTTTCACGTTACAGCACAGTCACTCCTGCAGTCTCTATTTGTCTGTCCTGAGGAGGAATCACATTGTCCAAGGAGTTAAACCATCGGCCAAGAGCAGCAGGTTTAGGACAGAAAGCAAAATTTAATCTCCTCACACCCAAACCTAAATCTAAGGCTGGCCTCCGTCTCTGTTTCTTTGGGGTTAAATATTTGGAACACTAACAACAAACAAAAATCTAGTTAACATGTCACATTGTTCTTTAATTGTTTCACCTCTCTCATTTTAAGATACCTACATGTCTATATCAGGTTTTTGCAAGAGAAACAGTCAGGAAATTTTTGCACACTGCTGTCCACTGATTATTTCACCTTAAGATTCCCCCATGCAAATGGTCAGTGATGTATGTTCCCAAACTCACCCTACAGCTGTAAATCTTGCCTCATGTCTCTACAATTTCAATACATTATCAGGACCTGGTGATGGGACTCACTGAAAATGTTAATCTAATTTGAAGAGAGATCACGCAAAAATGGCACGTCCTGACTCACCAGATATGGTTCCTATGAGTACTCAAAGTCACTCAGTTTTAATGACAAAAATAAAATATGAACTAATAAGGAGTGAAGGATTTACATAGGTCTCTGGGCCACTCAGAATGCAGGATTCCAAGAGATCATGGGTTGAATAATGTCAGGACACACACATCCTGCTGTTGGGTGAGCAAGCATTCTGTGTACTCCGCTGAGACAGTTCTCTGCCATACTGTGTTTTTCCTGTCTTACACTTTTTGAAAGGCAGCTTCTGGTGGATTGAATGCAGGGCTGGGACGCCAAAGTTTGATATGCTCAAAAATAGCAGCCCATGGCTAAATCCAGAGCATGACAGAACTAGATCCCACTCAAAACGAGAAGCCTTGATTACATCTAGAGCAGGATGGGCAATGGACTGCTGACCTAAGCAGCTCTCAATTTTTTTATTTTATTTTATTTTATTATTTATTAAAATCCCTACAAAATGTCATGTGAAAGGCATCGGGAAACGCAGAGAGATATCTAGCTAGTGGCCTAGATTCCCAGTCCCAGCTCTGATGCTCAGTCACCTGGGTCAAATCCCTTTGCTTCTTTGTGTCTCTGCTTCCCATTTGTAAAATGGGGGTGATACTACTTGCCAACCTCACAGGGGAAATTAGGCCTTGTGAGTCCACAGGTGGGGCCATTGTGAAGATTAAAGAGCTAATGTTTGCAAAGTCCTTTGGTAAACAAATTGTGCACCAGTAAATTATACTATTTAGAGTGGATCAAAGACCTAGAGAGTAAATGGACCTTGGTGCGGCTTAGGATGCAGGTGTAAGAGCAGCGCTCAATTTGCCTGCTGAGGCCCTGGATAAACTGTCAGCACTTACCATCCCATAGAAGGTGTTATCTGTCCAACCCCACTGGGAGGGAGGGAGTAGAAACCAGGGATATCCGATGTTTGGGAAGGACGGTGCACACCTAAGCAGAGGATCAAGACTTTAGTTAGAGAAGGAAATTTGGGAAGAGCAAGCAGTAGCATTTCCAGGTTTCTGGTCATCCATATGTTTTCAACTTCTATATGTACTTCCATGTACTCCAAGGACAGCTACTCAGTTAGGTTTGCGACTCGTGAGGGCAGGTCGACGCTACCGCTTAAGCGGATGTAACTTATGTTGCTCAGGGCTGTGAAAAAGACACACGCTCGCCCCTCCACGAGCGACGCAAGTTATAGTGACCTAAGCGCTGTCCGCACGGGCGCTACGTCCGCGGGAGACGCTCTCCTGCCAAGGTAGCTTCTGCCTCTCACAGAGGTGTAGTAATTACGTCTCCCGTCAGCATACAGCTGGTTCACCGGACGCACTGTAGCGCTTCGAGCGCAGACCTGCCCGCAGAAACGTTCGTGACAAAAGTATTTTCCTTTGCACAATCGTTCCAAATGACAGGGTACAACAACTGATCCCTTTTAATGGTTTGGTTGGGTCTACGCTGCATCTGGGAGCAAGCCTCCAAGCTCGGCTCCACAGACTTGTGCTGGGTGGACTCTCACTAGCGCTCTGAAAATAGATCTGAAGCCTGGGCCGGAGGAGAGTGGGGCTTGGGAGTCCAAGCTCCAGCCTCATGGGCAAGGTCAAAGCACCACTTAGCCAGCTATTTTTATAGGGCTAGCGTGAGCCCTGTTAACACCATGGACCAGGGATGGGAGGCTCCCTCCCAGGCATGCCCTTCGGTGTAGCCCTTTGCTGCGGGGCAGGGCAAAGCGATAACCTTCAAACATTACTGCAGAAAAAAGATGACGACTCTACTCATGTTTCGTTCATCCAAAGGCCACAACACTCACCTGCCAAACAACACTGTGCTTTGCATTTCGGCTCCATCCCAGCAGTTTCTATTCCTCTCTTCCCACTCACACTGTTCCTGCTCATCTCAGATAAACTCTTCCTTATGGGGTGTCACGGTAATGCTGACCAATGACCCCATTCAGGAGCAAGGCCTTCCTTCCCTGTGGCTTCCTGCCATTTCATTATGCACTTTCTTTATCCATAATGACTTTTTCCATGCGCTTCCCTCAGGGCCATTTCTCTAAGCGTCCCTTGTGTATTCCATTTCAGAGAGGTCTTGATTTTAAGGGCCTGATTGTCTCTTCTACCACAACCTATTTGTGCCGCTCTGTTGGTGTCAAGGGGCCATAAACTAAGTTCATGTGGCCAGCTGGGAATTCCCCTTTGCTAATGGGATTCCCTGGGTGCTCTTCACAGCTGTCAGTAACAGAGTGTGGTTAGAGGAAAGAGGGTATGGCCGGAGTGTCTTTATACATTGGCTATTTTTCTGGCTTTCAGGACAGCTTCTCTTGGAGCCTTGGGCAGCTGGGAAGAAGTTAGAGCAGCCTTGAAGCTGCTTCTACACGGAGGGCCAAATGGGTCTTCAGCTGCCCTCAGAATTGGGGAACTGAAAAACATAAGCACCCTGCTTTGCTCTCACTGCACTTGGCACAGGATTAAAACCCAGAACCAGGCTTTAGGTATCTACCTCCAAAAGGGACATGGGGAAGAAAGATCCCCAGATTAATGTCCCCCATGTGGGAAGAAAGAGAGCGAGCGTGTGTGCATCTGTCTGTGTGATGAAGAGTGAGATGTTGCCAGGGAAATGCCTTATGGTGAAAGGATATGAAATGAATGATCCCTTGAACACAACACTGACCTTTTGTATAGTTACCTGGTGACAACAGAACATCAAATAACCTTTCAGTTATGTATTAGCCAATAGATCCTCGCCCTGAAGGACACTGAGGATGTAGTTTGGCCTATCTCCAGGAGGAGAGCACTCTAGATTCATGGGTCTTCAACAGAGGTTTATGCTGTGGGACTATTAGCAGCTCCAGTGCCAATCTTAATTTTCATGAAAGGACATAGGGCAGCCGCCAGTCCCTGGGGTAGGCTGGTGCTCTATTGTTTAAAGCTTTACATACTAATAGGAAGTCCCTGAAGCACACTCACAGGCAGGGACTTTCAAAGGCCCTTGAGGAGTCATGGAGCTGTGTTCTGCAAGTAGTTTTCAAGGGCAGCCTGATATAAGGTGCATTGTGTTATATTCCCTCAGGAGCCAAGCAAGATTGGAAAAAAATAAAAAATAAAATCTTCCCTCGCCACTTTTGTGAGACTTGGAAATCTGCCATTAGCTATGCTTCTAATAGGTTTTAATTTAACTTTGTATTTTTCTGATGACTTTATTACATGCTGGTGGCTGGCAAGCAATCTGCTGTCTGGAAGAGACACCAGACATATTCTGGTATCTGTTCCATGGGTGTAAATCCTCAGCAGTCTGTGGACTTACTGAGGGTAACACTGGTGAGACCAGAATGTGGCCCCTAGGGTTCAAACTGCTGACAAATCACCATCACCTCCTTAGCCATTCCCCTTACTTTATCACACATTGTTTGGCAGCACTCGTAACTCAGCTAACCTATCATTTTGCAACATGCTCAGAACCTTTAGAAATTGAGATTATGTGGACTGGTGACTATTGTATGAAATTACAGAAAATTCCCCCACTCCAAAAGGTGAGCAACAATACTGTGTGGGTGGAACACTTCATTTCTTTACCTCTCAATGGGGGTGTTGGCAGGATAGCGTCACATAAAGTTTAGAACGGTAGGTAGCCATGTGGCTTTGGTATGCAGGGCTTTGCGTGAAACACACCATCTTGTGTATGCACCTGGAGTTTTCCACTGACTTCCAGGTTCAAATGAACCCAAGATCCCTGCCAGAATTTAGGTTGACACAAAGCTGTAAATTAACCTAGTTTTACTTGAAACTATGCCCAGGGTCTGCCCAAAGTTTGTGAATCTTAGCAAAGCTTTGGATGAATTTGGAAGATTTTGAGTCTGTTGCACCAATACAACATATAACAGCAGCTTCTCACTAGCCCCCAAACCAGAAATGATTTATGATAAATTCACACATGTATTCACTTTTCACAGTACAGGGACTAACCTCTCCTTATCGTACTTTCCTCTATACTCTTCCTGAAATGATTGTCTGCTATGTATTATATTAACAAATAAGAGAAATCCAAATACTCAAACTGTATGACAACCACATACGCACGGCTGCAGTCTGTAAAAATCCAGCTACACACCAGACACAGATCCCAGTTAGTCAAAATATTTCCTGTTTCAAGCATTTATTTTCTCATAATGACAACCTGACAACTGTTCGGGTATGAGTCAAAAGAAAGGTTACTTTCCATTTTCTGGTTGACTTTTGTGAATCATCCCCAGACTCTGGTCTATTCTAAGGCTACAAAGGGACTTATTACACGGAGAATTAAGCAAAATGGATGATCAAGGCAGATACTTTTTGATGTTCAAGCCTCTCTTGGCCATGACTGCAAAGCATCCTCAAGGAGCTAAATCCCAAGCAATTCCCCTGCTAGCCGATGCCCCTACCTGCCCATGGCTCGCTGCACTTAGTGTTTGCATTGATGGTCATTTATTTTTTAAACTGGACATAGGTTAAAGAATCTGACCATGCTGGAAAAACACAGGCTATGTAGCAACTCTAATTTCAACATCTTATGGCATCAGCCCCCTCTTCTAAGTCTTCATGAGGACCCCTGCCCCAACAAGCTTATGTAGGATAAGAGTTACCTTGTTTCTGGTTGATGTCGGCTGGCAGGTGTGGTGAATGGGAGCCATGGCTGAAATGTTCGTTGCTGTATGGAATGAGTGGGGTGAGTGGATGGACTCCGTGGGACGGCTGCACTACAGGAACCTTGTTGGACTGTAAAATACAAGGGGAGGGGAAAGGCTTCAGCAATTTATGCCTTTGTGCTTTACAATCCAGGTATATTGAGTATCTGGTATTACGTGTCTAAGCAAATATCATTAGAACCGCTATTCCTAGCAAAAGCAAAGGTCTGGATCAGAGACTTCACAGGGGGGAGGGATAGCTCAGTGGTTTGAGCATTGGCCTGCTAAACCCAGGGTTGTGAGTTCAATCCTTGAAGGGGCCATTTGGGGATTGGTCCTGCTTTGACTAGATGACCTCCTAAGGTCCCTTCCAACCCTGGTATTCTATGATTCTATGAAAGCAGCCATTCCTGCCTGCCTAAGACTGCAAGTGCCCTCTGTAGGCCTGGCTTTGGAAGTGAGATGCTGAGAATTATAATAAATCCTCTCAAAGACAGAGCAGAAAAATATCTTTACCTAAATAAATAAATGCTACAGTCCCTTACAGGAAAGATCCACACCAGCAGTGACGCTGGTGTATTTTGGACCATCACAGTAAAATAAAACACTGTTTTGTAATATTTATGATGTTACCCTGGACCAGCACAACCAACATGAAGTTTTCAAACTCTTCAGTACTACCTATTCCACACAGAATTTCTCAAATGTGGCCACCAGTGGCTTTTCTTGTGGCCACAGCCTCCTGGGCAGTGATGAGGGACGGGGGGCAAAGCAGTGGTCCCTCCCTCTGGAGACACAAATGCTGGAGGAGCAGGCAGCTAGTGAGTTCCCAACCTTCCTGGGGACGGTAGGGTTGGGCTCCAGCCCTGGGGTGGTGGGCAGCAGGCTCTGGCCACCGGGCTCCAACCCCAGCTGTGGGGCTCACACCCCCATCATCCCTGACCCCCTGCTGCCTTCACCAGCCTGTCATGTTTCTCCCACTGTCTCCCTATCGACCTCCCCATCCAAGGCTTAATTTGTCCCTGGGCTTGCCAGGACTGAGTAAGTCTGCTGATGTGAAAAGTGATATTTGTAGGTTTGTTAATATCACTTTTCACAGCAGCAGACTTACTAGCTAGCAAGTCTCTTTAAAAAAAGGAACCAAAAAAGCAAAAGAAACAACAACAAAAAAGACAAGAACCAGCAGAGCACCTTATTTGTGTTTCTATTCTGTGTAGGTTCAGTAAACAACAGAGACAACTACATTATTTTTATTATTGAGTCTGAAAAAAGATTCAATAAATTAGAATGATTTGGACACGTGTATACGCCTATTTATTTGTTTTTCCTAAAGTTAATTCAGTATTTTAGGAAAAATTTGTCAGCGCAGCCACCACCAAGAGTTGGTGGCCACACATTAAGGCCACCAAAAAATTTGTTGTGAGAACCCCTGGCCCTACAATACCTTCTTTATCTCAGGATGATACTGAGTATGTTAGCAAATGTACTGCTATCCTAGCACCCTCTGTTTTGCCCTATCAGTTCCCTCTGCTGAGGCACGTGGCAGGGGGGTGTGCTCTCTCTCTCTCTCTTTTTTCTAAATCTAAATGTGAACATGTGTTTTCTAAAGTAAGCGACAGGCCCGGTGTGTTTATATCAAAGGTGCTCACTAATACAGAGACCCAGCCCTCTGACTCCAGGGGCCCCTCAGTTTAGCAGACTTGAAGCATGCCTATTTCTTGGGCTCTCAGGCGTCGGAGGGAATGAGTCAGACGCGAAGCAAGGAGGTGGGGGGAAACATGAGGTCATGTGTGCCGCCTCCCCACCCCCCCACGAGTTGCTGCTTGGCTTGTGCTGAGCATGATCGCACGGACTGAGCATGCTCAGTAACATCCGGTGAAGCCACTGCCCTCACTCTGTCCCCGTCTCTGGAGTAAGTTTAGTCACCTTTGTTAGTGTATAAAGTGCTACACTTTACATCTAGCCACTTCAACTACCAAATTCTTCCCTATTGGCAGAAAAACGTAATCCCTTGAAAGAAAGCTGAAAGATCACACAGCAAAATGGTTTCAAGGAAAGGGATAAATTACCCCTTCTTAGTTGCCCTATATGACAAAGAAAAAATGGCACAGAAAAGTGTAAAAAGAAAAGGAATACTTGTGGCACCTTAGAGACTAACCAATTTATTTGAGCATAAGCTTCCGTGAGCTACAGCTCACTTCATCGGATGCATACTGTGGAAACTGCAGAAGACATTACCTACACAGAGACCATGAAACAATACCTCCTCCCACCCCACTCTCCTGCTGGTAATAGCTTATCTAAAGTGATCACTCTCCTTACAATGTGTATGATAATCAAGTTGGACCATTTCCAGCACAAATCCAGGTTTTCTCACCCTCCGCCCTCCCCACCCCCCAAACTCACTCTCCTGCTGGTAATAGCCCATCCAAAGTGACCACTCTCTTTACAATGTGTATGATAATCAAGGTGGGCCATTTCCAGCACAAATCCAGGTTCTCACCCCCCCCCCCCTTCCAAAAACCACACACACAAACTCTCGACCAAAGAGAGTGGTCACTTTGGATGGGCTATTACCAGCAGGAGAGTGAGTTTGGGGGGGGGGGGGGGTGGAGGGTGAGAAAAACTGGATTTGTGCTGGAAATGGCCCAACTTGATTATCATACACATTGTAAGGAGAGTGATCACTTTAGATAAGCTATTACCAGCAGGAGAGTGGGGTGGGAGGAGGTATTGTTTCATGGTCTCTGTGTAGATAATGTCTTCTGCAGTTTCCACAGTATGCATCCGATGAAGTGAGCTGTAGCTCACGAAAGCTTATGCTCAAATAAATTGGTTAGTCTCTAAGGTGCCACAAGTCCTCCTTTTCTTTTTGCGAATACAGACTAACACGGCTGTTACTCTGAAACAGAAAAGTGTGTGACTAAAGGTAAAGAATAAATAGCACAAACTGCCGTTCTGTGCTAATTTGTACTTACAAAGACACTTCCCTGCCTCAGACTCTGCTAAACCATAGGCAGTGGTCTTTTTGAAGTAGGGACAGGTGTCAAATGTAGAGATTCTGGAAAGAGCACAATCCCTTCAGCTGCCGGTGAAGAAAGGAAGGCGCAAAAAAGGAAAGGAGAACAATAGGAAGCAAAAGGACAGTGTGTCCTGGGAACAGGCCCTCCAGATTCCTGAGCTATACTTTGGAATACCTAAAGGAAAGACTGGCCGCAAAGATTCCTACATAGTTTTACACAGAGTCAAGTACATTCCGGGACACAGAATTTAGGAGCTTATAGGTCCACACTTTGGAACACTCTGGGTTTTCACACGTACTAGTCACTGATTCTAGTTGTTTTAGGTTTTCAGCACCTCTGAAAATCAGGCCCAAAATGTCTCATGGATGGTTCTCAGAAATGGAGAAACCCGTATTTAGTAGACACTTTTTGAAAGCATTGGCTTTCCTGAGTGCTGTGTAAGCACTCATCCAGAACAAACATCAACTAATTCTATACCTTCTACCCCACCAAACCTGAGTAACCTCGGAATAGCTTCATGGTAGCCATGGACAAATCTGAAGGATGCAGCAAACAAAATTAAATTCAGAAAAAACATTTGTCTCCCCCTCTCTCTCTGTTTCACCATCAGAGCAATCAAGTCCTGAAATCTTTGTGAAATCAGGCTTCTGTGTTAAGCACAATGCAGAATATTTCTGCATGTTGGAGCACAGAAAAGGGAACTTGTTTAAAACAGTGGCAGTGCTTTAAGGAAAACACACACACAAACTTTGCTGTCTGCCTCAAGCATGTTTGCCATTTCATACTTGCCCAGTTTTGCCCACAATGCCTTTAAACCCAAACTGACTTCACCATGATTAGGGAAACAGTCAGGATTTGTCCCAGGGAAAATCTGCAGACAACATTAGGACTGATAATAGTACAAGTTTTCGGAGGAATAAGAGTGGACCACATACAAATGCTGATCAGTAGTTAAAGGAGGGGACCCCGAATCAGCTCTCCTGGGTTCCATTGCAGCATCTACAAATGATTTGTTGTGTAGATGTAGGCAAGTCACTTATCTCTAGGCTGGATTCTCCACTACCTTTCATCTGGTTTAGCATTTACACCTGTACAATGTGAGTATAAAACATGACTTTTCTGATTTCATAGCCGTTTCACACTTAATCTGCACAGGTAGAAGAAAGTGTAGAATCAGGCTTCTGTGTCTTGGTTTTTTTCCATCTATAACAGAGGATAATAATACATAATCCACAGCAGTCTTGCAAAGCTGAACTTGTATGAAGTATTTTAAAATCCTTGGGTAAAAAATACAATATGCATTTATATAGCATCTCTGTATGAATTGGAAAATAAATAATCTGTGCTAGTAGAAACTGTGTTACTTCACATTTGTATACACTACCAAATGTTTGCTCAAGTAAATAAAACAAAGCTGCACATAAAATTTTATTTAAGAAAGAAAGCAAAGCAACTCTCCAAACTCAGAGTGTTTAGTCAAACACTGGATCTTTAGGTTCTACCATGAAGCACTGAATTTTGACCACTCTGGATCATGAGAGGAAGTCTGGAATAGTTTTTCAGGGATATTTCTGAAATTGGCTATAGTTAAAGCCTAATTAAGTGCTGGACTTTCAAAGTTAAGGATATGCAACTCTATATGCATATCTCCACGTTCCTAACTTAATACATTAATACCCAGCAGGCTCGTGCAAATCAGTTGTCTGTGCACACTAAAAGCCACCCTTATACCCATGTGCTTGTACAAATATTTGATTTGTGCACACAGCTAGTGCTTTATGTGCAGAACTTAGGCACAAGCAAAATTATATGTGCAACTTCACCTGCCTAACTGATAATCCAGTCCTTGATATATTAAGGGTGGGATTTTCAAAAATGCTCAGTGGGCCTAATTCTGCCTCCTTCGAAATCAGTGATAAAACTCCCATCGACTTAAATGGGAGCAGAGTTAGACTAGTGCCAAATACTTTTGAAAAATCTAAACCTAAGCATTTCTGTTGTCCACAAAAGGGCAGAATTTTCACTCTTTCACATCCAATCTGGTCCAAAGTGGAGCATCATTCTACTA